AAGTCGGCTGACTCCTCCACCCTATTCTGCTCGAGTGGAGGTTCCTGTAATTGCTATCTGGGGCTTGTCGACCGGACGGGCGCCTTTCCCTTCCCTGCATGCTTTAGTGTGACGGAATAACACTCTTTGGCTGCGACCTGATCCCCCCGAATGTCTATCACTTTATCTCCATCGGGCCCGAGGCACCTCATGACCTGATGCAGAGTTGAGGGTACACCTCGGACTCTGTGAATCCATCCTCTTCCCATCAGGAGATTATACGAGGGGTGAATTTCCACAACCACAAAAGTTTCCATAAGAGCTCGCTCTGCAGCTTGAACTTCTACTTCCACCATCCCGACGGGTTCCACCCTCTTCCCATCGAACCCTAACAAGGGATTTCCGGTGGGCTTGAGCCTCTCTGGTTTAATGTCGAGCCTGTCAAATGTGTCCCTTGGCATAACATTCGCACTGCTCCCAGGATCGATCAGAACTCTGCGCACCAAGCACTCTGCCACTGTCAAACTGACTACCAACGGGTCGTCATGAGGCAGTTGGACACGCTGCAGGTCTGTCCAGTCGAACTTTATCTGCATTGACGGGCTCTGTTGGTGTAGAGTGGTCACATTGCCGACCCTTTTCTTCATCTGTGCCTGCCGCAGGCGCACCCGTAGCAGCTCATCTGGCTCTTCACTAGGCTCGGGTCGACCATGGATAGCATTGATTATACGAACTGGTTGCGAATTGTGGGAGCTCTGTTTATGACTCCTTTTTATTTGTTCCACTGGTCGATTCTGCTCCATCGCCGAGCCTTGAACATAACTCGCAAACTCCCCTCTAGCTATCAACATCTCCACTTGCCTCCTCAGGTTCCTGCATTCGTTAGTCTGATGTCCGAAATCAGAATGAAAAGCACAATGTTTAGTTTGATCCCTCTGTTCGAGGGGTTGTCTAATTGGCAGTGGTGGATGAAACTTGTCCTTGTTCTCCTGATATAACCTCGCCAGAGTGACCTTCAGCGGAGTAATCAACTCTTCCTCCCTGGACCTTTTTTCGGCCTTCCAAGTGGTCTGACGTTGCGGCTGAGCCTGCTTCTGCCTGATCTTTGCCTTGGACTTTTCCTCGGTCGACACAAGCGACGTTGTCCGAGCATTAGCTGCCTCCTCTTCTTCGAGGCGCACAAAGCCATCGGCTCTCTCATTGAGTTCGTCCATGGTAGCTGGCGTATTCACTACCAGACTGGTGTGAAACGGAGTTCCGCGTGTCATGGCTAACTTGAAGGCTTGAACTGCCGTAGTAGGATGGCATTCGATTACCATACTCTTAGTGAGATTAAACCTGGTAAGAAAGGCCTGGAGCCGTTCATCCTTGTGTTGCCGCATCGTGAACAGGCTCGAGATGTCCTTCGGCGGGCGTTTGTTCCCATAGTACTGGCTTATGAACCGATCGCACAGGTCCCTGAAACTGCCAATGGAGCTCCTAGGCAAGTTTTTGAACCAGCTGAGCGCCGGTCCGGCCAAACTTGTAGGGAAGCATTTGCACATTAAAGAGTCGTTTTCCGTGTTCAGGGCCATTTTCAACTGGATATGATACACATGATCGATCGGATCGGTTGTTCCGTCAAACAGAATAAAGACTGGCATAGCAAACTTCCTTGGATGCGGCGCATTCAAGATCTCGTCGGTGAATGGTGAATCCACCGTCCGAGCTGCGGATCGGAGAGCTTCATTCTCTCTCTGGAGTCCGGCGGTAGCTCTGTGAGTTACGGTTCTGCCCTCCGAACCGCGATGAGTGACAGTAACCATGGAGGGCCGGTAAGACGGATCGAACGACCGTTCCTCTATGAACTCTCTCTGCCAAGGCGACGCTACTCGACGGCGATCTACCTCCATCACTTCCTCTCGGTCAAACCTTTCCCGCTGCGGATCAACGTGAGTCGAGCCTTCGTGATCTTCAACTCGACGAACATTTGGCGGCGAATTGTCCATCATCCTTTCATCACGGTGGTGAGCTGACTGATTGTTCTCGTTCTGATCGCCTTGATGCGCGATACTAGATGGAACACCTCCTTCTCCGACCGGAAGCGGATGCGAGACTGCGGGTATTTGCCGATGCTGCAATCCAGCTTTCAATTCTGCATTTTCTTTTCTGAGAGCTTCAATCAAATTCATCAACTCTTCAAGCTTTGTTTGCTGGACAGCCTCCATCGGATTGGAGCTTTCACCTATCATTATTCCCGAACGGAGTAAAGGCATTAATCTCAAGCTCGCGAGTAGATCTAAGCTTCGTGAGTAGGAATTTTTAGATCTGGCTTCTAATTCTCCGAATTATGCTCACTGTTTACAAGATCTGAATTGCCTGGACTCTAAATCCGTCAGATCCTGTCACAATCGAGCAACTCGCGGTTGCGTAGATCTGAAGTCACTCCTGCCAAAGCTTCAAGAATCGTAATTCCTCCAGAGTAGGTCACAATCGCTCAGATCTGGATTCAAATTCGCAAGATCGAGTCTCGATCAACCGAATTGGTTTGAATCCATTCGATCCTCCTCATTGATCAACCAAACTTTTATGCGTTTCCCACAGACGGCGCCAATTGAAGATGCAAGAAACTCCTTCTATTCTTTCTCTCTCTAGAATTCTTACACCTCAACCCGAATCAAGATCCCCCTCCTCTTCATTCCAACTCCTATTTATAGATATTTACAAGATATTTACAAGATATTTACTAACTGCTGGACCTGGGCCTATTCCTCAGTAAGCCCTGGTCACTCTTGATGGGCTTACTCCCGCTCGGCCCATATGGCAGTGTCTTTTTATGGGCTGACCCAGCTGTTCGGACTGAAGGTTGTGTTTTGCGAGTCGGACCTGGCCCATGTCATCCAGGGCCTCCTCAGTAATTGTATCGTTTGGTAGGAAATTACTAGTGAAGTGATTGCACCAAAGTGAAGACCAGTGCACTATGTTACAAGTTGTAATATCATCATCAATTCAAGAGTTGTTTGTAGGTGAAACAAGAAGCTTGAGTGCTTTTCCATTTTAACACAAGAAACTGGAGAGGGAAAGGTACTGTTGTGGCATCTAATGTTCTCCCAGTTTTAGAAACAGAAATTATTCATAGAGGAACAAAGAAGAGTTTGGAAAAGAGAGTCCCCCATTCTGGTTTTGAACAGTTTTGTAACAAATTTGGAGCTGTGTTATAATATTTCACTAGTGTACAGAAAAAAGTAGGAATCCTCATACTCTCTGTTTGAAGTTAAACAAGAAGTCAACAACCAACAAGACCCCACCACACCTAATATAGTTGCCATTATTGAATTCAGACAAATTGTATCATCTTCAAAACAAGCTCAATATGTTATTTGCAGACTCTTAATGAACAATAACGAGATATCTAATTATCTGAATATATCAGAGCAACACATTATATGTGTGGTTAATTGTTGTCTTTTAATTAGTACCATTTCTATTGTTTGGTTGATCAATTTATATATATGGTGGTGATGCAGAATTAAAATTCCTAGACCATGGAGATATGAAAAGCATATATAATTCCAAAATTTTTAAAATAATGTCACTTTTTCTTAGGGAAGTGTTAATAAAATTTCTTATTACTATAATGTTTATATATTGGCATGACCAAATGTGCTAATATCAAATGCTCTCGATCAACTGGGTATTATTTAGTGATTTAGATAATAGAGCACCTAGTCCCAATTTTGTAAGGATAAAAATATATATATATATATATATATATAAAGGGTTTCATACCATCCTCTCATCACTCGAATTAGCAAGGCCTTGGAGATAAGTTCACCCAAATGTTTTTAGACTAATGTTTTGGGCTATCATATATCTTGGAACATTAACTGGGGCCTAACCCACTTTTTAATAGTTCCCCAAACAGCCCATTATTAGTTTCACCATTATGTTTTAATAAACAATCAATGTTGTTTCATCATTTGAGTGCTCAAATTAATGAAAAAGACTACTAATGAATTAAACAGATGCGATTGGACTCCATACTAGAATCACATACCAAGTCCATTTTATGATTGTTTGAATTGTGATTTTGAATCTAAGAAAGATTTATTTCACCTAATTAGGATTTATTTGAAATACTTACTTTTATGGATTACATGGATCAAATGTAGTTTATGCTCATAAGATACAACTCTAATTCAAATATGAATTAGATTTAACATAAGCTCTATTTGCCTAAGTGCCAACTTCTGCATGAACATAACCTTGACTAACATTAGAGATACATTTTTACTTTGTTTATCTCTTGATCATGCGAAATCAATACCAATAGAATTAAGCTCTCTAGTTGACAGAAAAGACAAAAGAAAAAAGAAAATAAAATTCCAACAACTCAATTTAAATGTGTGAACTCTGAAATAAAATTCAGACTCCAATTTATTTTTTATTTTTTAAAAAAGTACTACCACAACATTATCATTTCGTTGATGTTATAGTTACTATGATTGTACCTTTTAAACTTTATATATGGTTCCAATTCCAAAAAAAAAAATTAAAAAAACACTGAACGATGTATCACCGTTTTTGTTGAGTGGTGATGTAACAATTTATATGATTTCGACACAAGCACATGCATGCTACTTGTTATCAAACCATATCAACTCCAACCAGGGATGCAAAATAAGTGCCAGCTCTAAAAGAATGTCAAAATGTGATAACAGTAGAATTAATCAGAAACCCTAACCCTAGACAAGACCCAAAGGCAAAGGCAGAGGCAATTTAGTTGAGGAATCCCAAAGTTCCTCCTCCTACTAGCAAAGGTGCTGAACAAAGGCAAAATTGAAATGATTACTTGAATGAGTTGGGACCCAAACCCCTTTCATCATCTTTCCTTTCTAAGGTCTCTCAATTTTTTGACTTGGGATTGGGACCCACCTCGGCCACCATTGTCTTTATGGATTGAATCATATAAAGAGCCACCTCACGTGGAGTCTGAACCAATGGGCCTGTCCAACCACAATAAAAAGAACACATCCATCATTTATAACAAAAGAAATTATATATATAAATATTTACATTTCAATCCCCAAAAAAAAATTAAAAAAATAAAAAGAAAAGGCTCAATTACCCTTTTGCTAAAATTAAATTTTTTATTTTTGCTTTTTAAAGCTCACCCATATAATTCTCACTCATTATCTTTGTTGCATAAAGCTTTCACTCCTTCCTCCTCATCCTCTCTCTCTGGACTAACACCAACAACACATACATAGAATGTGAAAGGAATTCCAGAGAAACAAATATAATACTAATATAGAGGTATTCTAGAGAGAGAAAGAAAGAAAGAAAGAAAGAAAGAAAAAAAGAAAGAAAGAGAGAGAGAGACAGACCCACAAGAGATTAAATTAGGGCTCCATCACTCTTTCTCATAAAAAGAACAATATATAGAGACAGATCAAATTCTCATGTGATCATGGAAGGAGGTGATGATCTCCACCGGCCAACCTTTCCATTCCAGCTACTAGAAAAGAAGGAAGAAGAAGCTTGTTCTAGCTCCGGCTATCCGTCGCTAGCTATATCGGCCGACACGAACACCGCCCGATCAAACTCGACCCTCCAAATCGCGGCCGCCGAGCCTTCCAAAAAGCCGCCTCCCAAGAGGACCTCAACCAAAGACCGACACACCAAGGTGGACGGACGAGGGCGGCGCATCCGCATGCCTGCACTCTGCGCTGCTAGGGTTTTTCAGTTGACTCGCGAGCTCGGCCACAAGTCCGACGGCGAAACCATCGAGTGGCTACTCCAGCAGGCCGAGCCAGCCGTCATTGCTGCCACCGGCACCGGAACAATCCCTGCAAACTTCACTTCACTCAACATATCACTTCGCAGCTCCGGCTCAAGTATGTCCGTCCCGTCCCAACTACGATCCTCCTCCTACTTCAATCCCAACTTTTCGATGCCACAACGACTCAGTTTGTTTCCTGGCATCGGACTCTCATCTGACAACTCATCAACCCTTCTGAATTTCCAGTCAAACAATCAGAATCCGGTGCTAGAAGCGAAACAAGAGTTACGTGACAATTCATTGGAGTTACTAGAGGCAGGAGACAATTTAAGCCGAAAGCGTCGGCAAGAACAAGACTTGTCCTCCCAACAGCAAATGGGGAACTATTTATTACAGTCGAGCACGGGCGTGATGCCGGCAAGTCACGCCTCAATTCCGGCGAATTTCTGGATGGTGGCTAATTCCGGTAACCAAGTTATGGGTGGTGACCGAGTATGGACATTCCCATCAGTCAATAACAATCCCCTCTATAGGGGCACTATGTCTAGTGGCTTACATTTTATGAATTTTCCGGCTCCTGTCGCACTCTTGCCCAATCAACAATTGGGGTCAGAAATTGACAGCAGTCATGGTGGCGGCGGCAGTGGTGGTGGTGGTGGTGGTATGAATGACGGTCACCTGGCTATGCTGGCCGGGTTGAACCCTTATCGGTCATTCACCAATACAGGAGTGTCGGAATCTCAAGCAAGTGGGTCCCACTCACAGCACGGAGTCTATGATCGGCATGATACTACTACTAGTCACCACTCATAGATCATCCACCCACTTGTGTGTGGTTTGATGTGTGCACACGTGAGGTTTGATTTTGCTCATTGAGTTTCTAATATTTCAATTTTTTGTGTGTGATTAATATTAGGGTTTGAGAAAGACAATATTTTTAACATGGGATTTGCTGGTTTGAAAGAAAAAAAAAGAAAAAATTTGGTCTCCTTTGGTTTTTCACTACACCGTAAATCTCATCATATCATGATCATCAGTGTAATTCCATGCCATGTTATACATGTTATGTTATAAATTCTTACTGACTTGTGGATTAATATCTCTTTCTCTCTCTATATATATTTGTATCTCTACATGTATATATACGTTATATGGTGAGACTGTGAGAGGACCACTCAATTGAATTATGTGTAGTGTGTGACTGTGTGAGAAATGGAACAGTGCGCACCCACGAAATGGAGAGAGAGAAAGATGAGAGAGAGAGATATGAAACAGTGTTACTGCATTGTAGTATGAGAAACTGGTGTCATGGTGTGATAGGATGATATCGGCCATGAATCTCACGTTTACAGCATCTACGGTTAAGATCTTTTTTCAGAAATGGGGGTGGGGTTAATAGGACTATTGGGGCCCATATCTTATCAGTTCCAGGTGTTGGGTCAGGTGGTGAGGCCCAGCTGCTGCTTATTGCCTAAACCATGTACAGTATATCACTGACAAACAGGTGGATCATTCCTCCTCTACTTTCGTATATTTATGTGCGAGTGTGTGTATATATGTATATATCATATATGGGGTCATTGCTGGCACCATAAAGATCGGTGGTGGGTGTTCACGGCCCTACATGACATGGCCCACCAACTCATTCATCTAAACCATTCATTTTTTTGGTGGGCCATCTGCAAGTGGGCTCATTGAATAATTGGTTCTCGGTTGGAGAAATGTGTAGAATCTAGAGTTTCATCACCCTACTTGTAACAATGTCTCCCAAGTTTTAGGTGGTAAGTGGTTGCTTCATTTAAAAATATATATAAAAAATAAAAGGAAAATTTTGAATTTTGTCCTTTAAAGTGATATAAATTTATATTATTATAAATGTTTCTATGATGAAAAAAAAAAAAAAAAAAAAAACAACATTATTATGATGTTGTGAATAAAGAAAATCAAAAATCATTCTACTAATAATTAGTTCGAGTATCTGTATCTTTATTTTTCGTGGTATAATCTAACGTTCTATAAAACATAACATGTGATACTGTCATACTGCTTAGTTAGAATGTCCGATACACTCAATAATAAATAATTTTTTAAGTTAATATTAAAAAATATTGAAAAATAATTTTTCAAGAGCCAAACAAACTTGTAGACTTGCTTTTCATGGTGGAAATAAATTTTAAAAAATTTAGGGCTCCAAAATTTCTTGTTTGTATTTTTGGGTCTTACTGTATGTGTTCTAAAATTTGATACTTTGTACTCAAAAGTCACGCCCCATTAACTTGATTCAACATGGTGTCATAATATAATTGGAACTACACTTTAAAAAGAAGTTAAATCATATCATATGACAACATAAATTGTTAAAGATGACAGCCTATGTTTGGATATTCATGAAACTAAAATCCTTTCCATTTAATACTACACTGAGTGCACCTAATTAAATTTGCCTTTACACAACAAGGGTCCAAGAGTCCTTGCAAGAAAGTGGAAAAAGCATCATAGCTGATGAATGAAAGAAAACAAAAAACACATCATTTCATGAAATCATGAATGTGATGTTAATAAGATATGTTATAGATGCAACAAAATCATACTAAAACAGTAAACTAAAGGGTTGTTTACTTGGAAAATGACTTGAACTTTGGTACCATACGAAGCATTAGATCTTAAAATTGATTCGTCCTAGTGTAAATAAGTTTTTAAAGTCACGCTTGCGGATATAGTTCGAATTTTATCCAATTCGTGTAAGGGTGCTTTACACGAGTTCTATAGATTAATTGAGGCCTGGACACCCGATTATAAAATAAAATAAAAAACATAATCATACTAAATTCATCATTTTTTTTAATGTTATATACACATTGAGCTCCAAAGAGACTGATTAAAGAAGAAAAGAAATTAGATATATAGTCTGGGAAGAGAAAAATCAAACAATGTGATATATATATATATATATATATATATATATATATATATATATATGTATGTATGTATATATATATAAAGTTCCAACAAACTACATGAGATTGAATGGTTGGCATGTTGTAGTGGCAGGGATAGATTTAACAGTCATAAATTTGTAGCTTTTAATGTGATTTAGTTTTAGTGTGGAGGGACAGTGAGATAGCATGCAGGATATTGAAATTGAAATTGAAATGGTCTTGGTTGATGGAAGACAAGTTGCACATGGGTATGAAACAATATGGTACAACAAAATGGTCCCTCAAAACAAATCTTGTATCCAACAAAAAATAGTATGATAAGACCATCCATTGCATTGTCCTCATTGGTGTGGTAAACAATCAAACTCAGGCATCCCAGTTTTGAAACCAAATGCCCATTATTAGATGCTAATAGAAACAACAGATTTTGCTAAATATGGGACAGGATATCCAGTAAGCATACTTTTAATATATATATATATATATATATATATATATATATATATATATATATATATACTTGCATGAGATTTGTTTTATATTAATCATTTCAATTTCAGTAAACAACACTCATATATGCACCATTCTGGAGATTTATTGAAATTGCATTACGTTCCTTGTCATTTTAAAAATTAAACTGCATGACTTCACTATCAGAAACTTTCACTCACTGTTGTGTCATTAAGTTATAATCAATATTTTTTCCCGTGAAACCTTATTTCTAACATGGGAGAACTGTATAATTTGTCTTTAATTAGGGTTCATATATAGAAAAAATATATTTATTTCAAAACTATGTCTAACATGGAAGAACCATATAAATTTTCAAATAATAGAGATTGTACATATAACTATAAAAACTTAAACTCTCGATCTTATACGGTAATTAAAAAAAGTGAGAAAGTACCTTTGTAGAAGGTTTGTCGACAATATCGCTACATTATCATCGATCTCTCTGAACCTTCTGGCATTGAGTTTGCAGGTATTAAGTTGATTAAAATGTGTATAATTGTTAGCGTATGAGGCATTGTGATTAATTACCAGGCTATGGACACATTTACCCTACCACGCCTTGTGTTTGAGTAAGTGTTCTCGAAGCAAGTATGCATGATATCATGTTGGGCTGTCTTGGGCTGTACGCATCTATTATATATATATCTATATATATACAGGTCAGAGGCTACCTACCCAAACAATTCAATTGCAGACGTACGTTCTTGAAAGAGCCTTATGTTAGTTGCGATCCAGCACATCTAAATGGCCCCGAACTGCTTCAATCATAGTTGCATCGATGTTTCTAATCCTACAATAGATTCAATCTCGCATAGATCCAAAAATCAAAGGGTTATGATCAACCCAGACATGTGGATATTATTTGTAGCGTTTTTTTCTTTTTCTTTTTTTTTTTTTAAAAAAATGGTTTTTTAAAATCAGCTTTCTTTTCTAAAAAAATCTATAAAAAAATCCAATTATTTCTTCAATTAAGAAAAGGGGGACACTTAATGACCATTGGGCCTCTTTGACGTTCCAAAAATTGGTCGGCTTGTTTACTTTTTCTACACCTGAGTTAATGTTAATTAATTATATAGACAAAAAAAAAAAAAAAAAAAAAAAAAGGTTTTTTAAAATCAGCTTTCTTTTCTAAGAAAATCTATAAAAAAATCCAATTATTTCTTTAATTAAGAAAAGGGGGACACTTAATGACCATTGGGCCTCTTTGACGTTCCAAAAATTGGTCGGCTTGTTTACTTTTTCTACACCTGAGTTAATGTTAATTAATTATATACGACAGTCTTTTGCAAACTAATTTCTGTCTGAATTTTTGCCTAAATCAACTGAACACGTACCGTAGTAATATTAATTTTAAAATCTCGAAACCTCGAGCACTGGACCTCTCAAAAAAAGAGGAGAGTTTATACTACCATTTAGGCTGAGGTAAAGACTTTGACACTTATTAGAGTGCAACTCAGCCCAATTAAAGAGCTAGCCAACCAATATTAAAAAACATTAGATCAGCCCATCCCCAGCCCGAACCCAATTTCAAAAATAACCATTTATTTGATTTCGGATCAATCTACCCAAGCTGCACCATTATCTCACATTCTAACAAAAGCCCAACCCTTCGAGCCCAAAGCTCCACTAAAAACATGAAAGTGTTTATATAAGTCCCTTAACAAATGAAGAATTCTTTTATAGGCTGGACAGGTCTGGCTGGACAGGCCAGGCCCAATACACATCATGTTAGTATATTGTGCAGGCTCAGGCGAGTCAGGTCCAACCCAACCTACGGTTATTGGTGACCCGCGAACGCCAGTTAGGTTCCGATGGAGGTAGGTAGTGTGTGTTTTGAAGTGGAAAAGGGTAGAGAGGAGGGACTCTTTATCATTTTTAGGTGTACATAATTTTTTTTTTTTTTTTTGGGTAAACAGAAGAAAACTAACATAAATTAGGACGGTAGTCCAACTCCACCAACTGAAGCACCTCCGCCGGAAAATGGGAGATTACAGAATCAGCACACAAGCATGAAGAAGAGAGTGATGCAAGGGCATGGGCTGCTCGATTACCTTGCCTCCGCACATGAGACACCTTAACCTATGAGAAGAGGTCCAGGTCAGTGCAAATATCATAAATTCATAAGGCAATGCTTGAAGGGCACCAAGAACCGACATGCAAAGCTTCCACAAGAGTTTGAGCATCACTTTCAAACCAGACGTGCTGAAAATCAAAAACCCGAGCCCACATGACAGCAAGTCTAAAAGCCAATGCGTCAGCCACCAATGGAGATGAAGCCGAAAACTGTTTAAAAACAACTGCTTTAAGAACCAAGCCGTCTGAAGTTCTGAAAATAGCTCCCCCTCCCCCAAGGCCGGTTGAATGGAAAAAAGATGCATCAACATTGCACTTGATTTTGCCGAAAGGGGGAGGAGACCAAGAAAGAGGGGAAACCGAAGGTTTAAGAGTCAAATGCACATTCAAACAACACTTCTGTACGTCAAAAAACTCCCAGAAACTTTGAACCGCCTTGGAGGCCACAAATGAAGGATGCCAGAGAGCACCTTCAAAAACCAACCTGTTTCGAGCTTTCTATAAAAACCAACAGTAAAAAGAAACCAAGCTCATCAAAGAAGAGCGCTCCATATGCCCAGAAGCAAGAGAGGGAAGGCTCAACCACCACTCTGAAAAAGAATTCACAACCAAATTAGAAAAATCCAAGCGAAGTGGAGTTCGCTTCCAAGTCTGCAAGGAATGAGGACATTTAAAAAAGAAGTGGAGAATAGTCTCCTCCTCCACACCACAACGAGGGCATATTGCATCATCAGTGAAACGTCTATGAAGATGTGTGGAACCCAATGGAAGAATGTCACGACAACAGTGCCATAAGAAATGATTGATTTTAGGAAGAGTTTTACAGTGCCAAATTTCTCTCCAAATTTGTCCTGCACCCACTAAACTAGAACTATGCAAAGACATAGCCAAGTGATATGCAGATTTAACAGTGAAATGTCTCGATGTTTCAGGAGCCCAAATATAAGAATCAACTTTATTGCGGAGGCTAAAGGGACATTTAGAGATGGCTACCATTTTATGAGGCAAGAAAACTAAATTTAAAATAGCTCTATTCCACGAGGCCTGTTGTAAATCAATAAGGTCAGCAACCTTGAATAAATGAGCTCCAGCAAGTCGGAATGGAAGTGTCTCGAAGAAACCTGGAATCCATCTGTCATTCCAAATATCTATGGATTGACCATTTCCAACCGACCATATTAAGCCCTTACGAAGAAGCTCTTGTGTGGACCAAATACTACGCCATCCCCAATACCTCCCTGAGTGACTTGAAAATTCCAGGCGTGTTTAGCCAGTAAAGCAGAGTTAAAGGCTTCAAAATCGCGAAAGTCAGTGCCCCCACTATTTTTACTAGCACATAAATCTTCCCAATTTACCCAATGCACTGAACGGGATTGGTCTTTTTTACTCCACCAGAAATTACGAACATATTTAGAAAGGTCCAAACACAAAGATCGAGGCAGTCTAAAAGAAAACATAAGATATGTAAAAAGGGCACTAAGCACTGCCTTAATTAAAATTTCTTTACCACCAGCTGAAAGACAATGCTTCTTCCAAGAAGCAAGTCGATCTTACATATGATGAAGAACAAACTGGAAAATATCTCGCTTAGAATGCCCCACCAAGGCAGGCACTCCCAGATAACGAGCTTGGAAACCCTCCACTGAAATCCCCAGCAAATGGCTGATGATGGATCTTGTAGATCGACTAGTATTTTCTGGAAAAAGAAAATGGCAGACTTCGAAAAATTAATCATTTGACCAGATACCTGCTCATAGCAATTAATAATGCGTTTCAATGAGTGAACTTCATCAAGGGAGGCTTGACAAAAAATAATGGAGTCATCGGCGAAGAACAAGTGCGAGAGAACAGGAGCTCCTCTACAAATAGATAAGCCAGTGAGAACTTTTGCTTGCTGAGCACGATAAAGAACCAATGATAGAGCCTCCGCATATAAAATAAAAAGATATGGGGATAGAGGATCGCTGTAATACCCCTAATATTTAAAAGGATATAGTTGGAATTTAAATTAAATTTTCTTTGAATTTTGTTTTCATTTTTATTTAATTATTTCGATTTTGTGTTTTGTGTGAGTATTTGGCTATATGTTTAATTAGCATTGTTTTTGTGTTAAATTAATTGCTTATTTGTTTTAATTTAATTGGATGATTAATTGGTATTTTAAAGTAATTGATTATTTGTTTTAATTTAATTGATTAATTAATTGGTTTTAATTGACGTGTGTTGTATATGGCTTATATGGTTTATAAATTAAGTTTAGAGTTTATGTGGTATAGCCGTCATATAATGAGTCATGGAAATTAGGATTAAAGTTTTAATGGAGCCTATATATATATAAGTTGTAGGTCTGGCAAGGGTTTTAAAAAAAACAAACTATGTTCCCGTAACTAGAGAAACAGAAAGGCTGAGGGGTAAAACATGAAAGGAAAACTGGGGAAAGGCTTTCAGCAATGTAACTGAAGGTCGTATCAAGGAGGAAGGAATGGTTTACTGTGAGATTGAACTGGAGCAGTGATTAGAGGAATGAACAGTCTTGGAGAAGCTCTGAAACTTAGAGACGACGATGAAGATTTTAAACCGGAATCTTAAGGCAAGTTTCAGTCTATTCCTCTCCCATAAACTTGTGTTCTGTGCATCTTATATAGACTCCAGGAACGTAATTAAACTTTTAAAAACGGACTTTATGCATTTAGATGTTTTCTGTAATCTGTTCTGCGTTTTTTTAAAGTTTAAACTTATTGTTGCATAAACTATTCTGTTGTGAGTTTACTTTCTGTCGATTGATTTACACTGGAGTATGAGGGGTTCTAGGACTGTAAGAAACTTAAATAGAGTTCTAAAGATGCTACAAAGGTTTGGGGATAGGATGGGAAGCTTTGTCGGAAGCACAAAAGGCAACCGAACGAAGCAGAGATGAGTTTGGAGCAGAAGAGAAGGCTCAAAGTGAGAGAGAGAGGGCTCCAAATTATGGGAGCCATCTCCCCCTTCTTAGAGCCGGCTCCAAGGGGTTAGGGAGCCAGCTCTAGGTAGAATAGAGCCTGCTCTTTTATTTTAGAGCAGGCTCCCTTGGTTAAGACACGTTTGGATGCATTTTGGAGCTATTTGGGCGCTGTTTGGGCTAAGTTTGAAATTCTAAATGGTTTTAGGGACTGGAATGAGAATTCTAAAAGTATTTTCAAGGGTTTTTAATTCCTCTAATTGTATATTTTGGTTCATAGGACAAATGGAATAAACAGTGTAAAAATAAGCGACTTTGTACGCTGCTAACGGATAGGAAGGACTAGTGCACTAAGTTTTGTTTTAAAAATTTAACGGACTATTGCATGGAATCTAAATATGATATTATGCTATATTAGAACTCATCATGAATAATTTATCCTAATATGCTAAGGGTTTTCACAGTATGGGAGTTTTAAGTAATGACGCACATTGTTGGCGATTGTAAGTATCTAGTTATGTAAATTTAATTTAGCAACTTAGATGACTGGAGGATGGTTCTAAAATCTATGTTTGATACAGAATAGGGTCATATTTATTAGACCTTATTTATGCATAGGTTGAATTTTAATTAAGGAACTAATAAATTAGGTTCCATTAATTAAATGGAGATTGTTATTTTAATGGTTAAACTGTTCTTTATGTTTCAGCAACTATTGGTTAGTACTGTGAATTTTTCTGAGTTATATTTTGGCATTCTCAGCTTTATAATTGACTCTTACTATTGTTAATATTGTCAACTGCTGGACTATACTATGGGTTAGTTGAAATTTAATTAAATGAATTAAATTGTCAATGACATCGATGGATACTGGATCTTAACTTGATGAAGTATTAAACTTTGTCTCGTTAATTACATGAATGGATTTTGGATTGCAAGTTGATGAACTGTTTAAACTCTGTATATCAACTATTTGGATTACGTGGGTATGATTTGATGAACTGTTGAAAATGTTGCATCATTCAAGGATCATTTGCATTATATGTACCGGTATGGGACGGTGACATATCAGGGATGGATTAGATCAAAAAGTTAAGTCCTACCCCTTCATACATAAGGAATGGATTAACTAAAACAGTTAAATCCTACATTGATGCATGTCCTGTCAACTAAAACAGTTGAACGACATAATGGATATTTGCTTTATCTTTCTGCACTAGGAAGGAATTTATATATATATATTTATGGTACCGTGATACGAGCTTAAGTCTCCTGATCACGGTTAGGGTGCGTATATCGCAAAGGTTGAGTAGCTGTATATAGCTAATGTTCCCTGGTAGGTCTAAGTACTTGGCCGCTGGAAAGCGTGTTTTATATGTCACCTTCTACCCAGGCTGAACTATGTTATAGGCTAGTGAGCATTCTATAGTGTGTATTTATATATCTATGGACTATTGTAGATATTGCCGAGTTATCTAGGATGTATCTGCGTATCGGGTTTATGTACGGATTCTAGTAGATTGGAACTTGCATGTGGGCCTGACCCACTCCTATTTTTCAGGTATTTGCCAGTTCCAGCTTAGAGTTTGATCGTGTTGATGCAGATACAGACACTCACTCTACTGGTTACATAGGATTTCCTTCTCATTATCGTTTTGGATTTTAATTCTGTAAATTTATCTAAAGATTTGTATTTAGGGGTCCACCAGGTGGATTCCCGAGTTGTACGGATTTAAATTATATTAAATTATTATTTAAGGTTTGAGGATTTTCATATTAGTATTCTTTCTGTTTATTATTATTTAAATCTTACTTCAGTTTTATTCCTGCTTGTTTACATATTGATTGTTTGGTATCCCTCGGATCTGTGCTCGGACTTGATCACCCGTGGCTCTAAAAACGAGGGGTATCACAATCGCCTTGGCGGAGGCCCCGAGAAGGCTTAAAGAATCCCACCGGAGTGCAAATTAATAACAATTGAGTAAGAGACAGTGGAAATACAAGTGGAAATCAACCGAATCCAATGGGCATCAAACCCCAATTTAGGTGTACATAATTGATGTTTGATAAATGGTACTCCGTAAAATTGATGTTTGTTGTAATTCTAGAGAGACACTAATGGTTACAGTGAGAAAAGTCAACCTCTCATCAATTCCATTCTGTCGTCCACCGAAGATACCTCAGATTCTGCGAGAGCCTAACTTTAACAATTAAAAGTGACTGATTGCACCATTTTGGTTCGGCCCAAAAAGTCATTGGTTGCACCATTATGGTTCAAATAGTGATTGTTTGTACTAAATTCGAACGATTATGCCTTTTGGGTAGTGCCTTGAAGAAATTGGGTTGCCAAAACCCTAGTATAATTAATTTTACTTTGAATTTAATTTCTCATTCACTCAAAAATAATTTTAAACAAATAAATATACTACGTTGATCTAATCTAATCTCGAAAAAAAAAAAAAAAAACATAATTGGACGACTCCAATTTTATGGCAAGGTTTGCTTGATCAAATGTTTCCAACAATACTATTTGCATGGTGGAAGGAAAGTGAATAAAGGAAACAAAAGGGTTATTTTAAAATTAACTAAAAGTGAACTTTTATGAGGTTTACCTTAATTAAAAACTTCTTAAATAGGACTGACTTCGTTTGGAAAGTAACCCTCACATCTCTGGTTGGTTGTCAGCAAACTCAGTTAGATGTAAGATGGTGAAAATACTCATGTACCCTTCAATCATTCCAACTCTTTTTTCATAAAAAGAGAGGTCAAAGGCTCAAAGCAAACCAAAAAGCATATCTTTCTCTACTAAAGTGAAAGCATATCAAATACTGTATCAATTACTTTTTCACAACAAAATATACACACGAGTGGATTAAAAGGATCTCCGAATAAAGAAATTAAAAGGATCGAATTTTATAACTCTTAACACAGGTTAATAAGTGCCATTACTAGGAACAAAAAGAAAAATGTTAAGATACTTTATGTTGATTCAATTTCCATGACAAATCTCCAAATTTTGCTCAAGACAGGCTCAAAATTTAACTCAATCTCTGTTTTGAATTAAATATAAATTAATAAAATTTTAATAATCACATTGCTTAAAAATTTATGTGCTCATTATGCGTTCAAAATACAACAAAAATAACAAAAATATATTATAAATCTCATTCATTATTGTAAAAAATTACATTTCTATGCATTTTGGCACGCTTGTGTGATATAAAAAAAAAGATAAATTATACTGACATCTCTTGAAATTTGGGCAAATTACACACAAATAAAATATTGGACCTTTAATTCGAGGGCTCAACCACAAATTTTTTTTATATTAAATAACTTCAATAATTTTATATTTTGACATGAAATGAAAAATATCAATTTTTATACCAATTTTATATTATTAAATTTTGCAAAAATATATATATATATTTTTAAAAAAGGTTAATGACATTTGATTAGGATTCTCTTTAGGGGTTTATTTATTTAATTTTATTTTTTAAGTAAGCTAATATAGTGTTTAAAAAAAAAGGAATAATATAGCCTTTCAGTTTGATAATTTTTTTATTATATATAATTAAATTAAATAATGATATGAAAGACATTTTAGCCAAACCTACTATATATGTTTAATTTGCCTTGGTTAGTGTAATTTACCCTAAATAAAATCCTATTTTGCTACGGTCCCGCTTGATTTGTGATAGCAGTGGATGCTCCGATTGATATTTTGTATCTGCCACCACCAAACCAGTACTCCTTGCATCAGCTATCAGCCAATCACTATCTCTCTTCTTTTTCTTCCCACCTTCCGCGTTTTAGTTTTGGTAGGTAGTACACTTTACTCTTTCGTTTTTGTGTGTGACCGTGTTTTTTTTTTTTTCATTCACACTTGTCTGTTTACTCTCTCTCTCTCTCTCTCTGAACAACCACTGTCTAAATTTTCAACAGTTTCCTGTTCTTCTTCTTATCAGAATTTTAGATCAGAACAGGAAAATCAGACTAAGAACTGCTTCAAAAATGGGATCTAGTGCTGCAAGTTTCCTCAAGGTGGTGGCTAAGAACTTCGATGTTCTTGCTGGGTATCTTTCTTTTTCCACACTCTTCTACTTCACCAATATATGTTTAGAGAGAGAGCGAGAATCAATCCCTGTCTCACAATTTCTCTGGTCATATTTCCTATTTCAGTTATTTTTACTAAGAGAAATTAAATTTCTGATAGAATTTAATAATACCCATTTGTGTTTTTAGTAATCTGGTGATGCTAGTGCTAATTTATTGTTTGTCTTCTGACTTGGCTCATGTGTATGATTTGCAGGCCTGTGGTTAGTCTGGCTTATCCTCTGTAAGTGGGTTTCTTTTATATCCTTCCACTTGTCCAAAGCGAAAGATGTTCATATCTGGCTCTCTGATTTCACTATTTGCATTTATTATACACTCAATGTTTGATGTTCTATGATGGCTAATTCGAATGGGTGGGCTTTCTCGCATGGGTTTGTGAATAAATTGAGACATTTGTTGTATTGATTGGATTATTTGGCAGATATGCCTCGGTTAGGGCAATTGAGTCCAAGTCTCCTATTGATGATCAGCAATGGCTTACTTACTGGGTTCTCTACTCTCTGATCACTCTTTTCGAGCTTACCTTTGCCAAACTCATTGAATGGTAATTTTTGTTGTGTTTATTTATACATTACTGCATTGTTTAATTACCCTTCTTACATTAATGGTAGTAACATGTGAGCTGCAAACTGTTTGATTTATTCTTGAATTGACATTTATATGTTCCATATTTGGCTTAACGACTATTTCTTGTTATATGGTTTGGACTTGTTACTCGATTATCATAGGAATTGAATGAATTTGCCCTTTTGCTCTAGTGACCATTTTAGGGTTGAAAATCAACCACCATCATGATAATTGAACATTAGAGAGTTATTCAGTTAAACATCCGAAACAATTCGAGAGTCTTTGTGAATAATCTCGAGAGTAAGAAAGCGATGCATTCATGTTTAGAAGAATATGATCATATCTAAAATTAGGGCAATGTTTTTGATTTTCATATTAGAATATTTTATTGTATTTAATCAGGGTTGATACCTACTACTATATAATGTGTGGGTTTTTCAAAATATATAAAGAAGGAATAAATTAGAAATATTGATCTGATCAAAGATGTTTGATGGAGTAATGTTTGGTAGGTAGGAAAACTCTTCCTATTGATGCAATCAAAGATGTTTGATGAAGTAATAATACCCAAAAGACAATAGAAAGAGTGAGGAGTGAGCCTTAGTAGTTGTAAGAAGCTTATATCAAGGCTAGGATCGATTCTTGCTAGGTGCAAACAATTCTTTGGAGGGGGATTGTGTGAGTACCAATTAGGACCAAAAAAAAAAAAAAAAAAAGGCTAGTGTTGATCCCTTCTTTGATTGGTCATGGGATAATTTAGTTGGTGTATACAAGATAGTTATATGGTATTTGTTTGTAACTTATGATACAGTTTCATTAGATGAAAGTAAAGCTGGTACTGATCTCTAGTGAGGACTATAGAGGGATACTTTCTAATTTTAAGGCTTTATGATAAGCAGGATGTATATTTATTTAGTGTCACGTATGGACTAGTAAATTCAGAAGAACAGGATTAATTGATGGCAATGAGAAATAAAAAATTACAGTCTCTTTATTTTGGGGTGATTGTAATCGATGAATGGGAGATATATAGGATGCTATACATATCATGTGGCATGTTGTGTTCTCATAAAATACTTATATAATTGAGAGGATGGCTTTGCAATATCCCTATCAAGTCAATTATGCTTTATGATACAAAATATTAGCCAGTGAGAAGCAATTGATTTAAAAATTGAGATAAATGAGTGGCAAAGACCAAAAAAAGAAAAAAAGATTAAAAAAAAAAATGATTTCATTGAGAGTTGAACTCAAGACCTCCCGCTTACTAAACGGGTGCTCTAACCAACTGAGCTATGAAAGCTCTTGGTATAAAATAGACCTATTAAGGTTTCCAATGGAAGGATATTATGTTTCGTGATGCTATAAGAACAAGTGGAAGGCTAAAACATGGGATGTGACACTGAAAAAACATTGTGGCCTTTAAAGTAATGAAAAATGACGCTACAAAGAGCTAAAGGCAACTAGGATTTTTGTAGCTGGCACCTAGAAGTTGGAACTCGAGGTTTTGCCAACTTTATTTAGAATACAAGTTCCTCATGGAAGACCAACAGGCTAGTGACCTAACGGTACCAAGCTCTTACTTCTCAAAGGGAGTTCAGGGGTTCAAGTGTAAGTACTAGTTAAGAAAAAAAAAATTACAAGTTCCTCATGGAAGAAAAACTCGCATTAATACCTTCAAGTGTTCTTGCTTTGAAAGATTAACCATTAGTGGCCTAGCAATGAAATTCAAATACATATTGACTCGCTCAGGCAATCAACATTTTGTATACATGTGGTTCTTTGTAGGTTAAATAAACTATTGAAATGCATCATAAATAGTGCATAATTATTAGAATCACCCTCTGTTAATTTTAAATGGTGAATTTGTGCTTTTGACTTTCTATAAAAAAAATTGTTTATAAATAACTAGCCCCTACTAATTACTTTATGGCAGGATTCCTATCTGGTCGTATGCAAAGCTGATTGCAACGTGTTGGTTGGTCATACCATACTTCAGTGGTGCTGCATACGTTTATGAGCATTTTGTTAGGCCAATCTATGTTAATCCACAAACTATTAACATCTGGTATATCCCAAAGAAGGACATATTTAGTAAGCCAGATGACATTCTAACTGCTGCAGAGAGGTACATTGAAGAAAATGGACCCGAAGCATTTGAGCAGCTCATAAAAAGCGTATGCCTACTAACCTTGATCATTTTTTTTTTTTTTTTTTTTGTCTAATTTTTTTGCCTAAACATGCCCTTGAGAGCTAATACATGCCCTTGAGAGCTAATTGTTAATCTAGAAAAGGGGGAGATGATTAATATATACTAATCATTAGATACGGCAGTATGGGCTGAGATAATGTTTCTAGCATATAAATCTGTTGTTGTATACATATGTGGGAGGAGGTTATATATTTTCTCTTTTTCTGCAGGCTGATAGGCAAGCGACGTCTCGGAGTAGGAACCGCACTTTTTTCGAGGAACATAGGGATTGAGCTTTGTCAATCGGAGTGATTTTTAGGCAACACCACTCCTTGGGCGTGGGAAACATCTGTCTACAGTTGTTAGGGGTGTCTTTGTGGTTGGTTAAGTAGTCTATATGGTCTGTTATGGTCTTTGGTTTTTCTGAAAAATGAATGTTCATATAGCCTGTAATTATTGTCACTTGACTCTTTATGGCCCTTTCTCATGCAGTCATGCACATAACTCTTCTATTAAGCGGTGAAGTACATAAAACTACTTGTTGGTAAGAATAAGTGTTAATTATATCGTTTTGGGTCTTAATCATAGGAATAATTAGATTTAGATCCTCCGTCTTTCCATATATCCTTGGGAATCATTTGAGTTTTATGATTGATGCAAATGACTTGTAATATTCAATGCTTTCTTTGAGCCATTGGCATTTGCAACGTGCATACTGGCTTGCTAATCTAACTTATCAAACTCGGGTTTTTGAATCACGACGTTATCTTTTCTTATAATGTGCCTCTCGGAGCTTCCTCTTAAAAATGATGGAACCTTGAACTCACTTCTGATGTAATTGTACACAAAAATTTAAGGATTAGGAGTGTTTGAAGGTGCCACTGATCTTGAAATGCTTAATTTGTCTTTATAATTATATATATATATATAAAAGTTATTTGTAATTATCATAATTGTTAGTGAAAGGCAGCCATCATTGCGAATGTGCCTTCAAATGCAACGCAGAATGTGATACAGCATCAAGTTTTGTGGGGGTTGCCTACAAACAATTTCGGCCTGATGATCCCCAAAAAATATTCTGATCAATTGGAAACCTCCTTTATTGTTTTGTGTTTTGATACTTGGTACTGAGCTATTTCTTTTCATAGGGTTGGAACACTAAATTAGATCAATATTTGTGAGATGCGATAATGTAATTCAATTCATATCATTGTGTTCCTTCATTGATAGTTTGTCATTACTAACCAACAACTTCAATCCAAGGCATTTTATAATCGACCTTAGAATGAAGCATATTCAAAAGAACAAGACCAAAACAAAGCATCACTAGAAGAATATGAAGATTGAACAGCAAAAGAACAATCCACCAGTCTGAACCAAGAGTGTTATAGACAGTAGTGTACATGAGAGGTTCCCATTCCTTCTGTGGGCATAAATTAGGTTGTGATTTTAACCTAAATTGCAACCTCTTGACATCCTTAAATTTGTTGCAAAACATCCTATTGTTCCTATCCATCCATAAGACACAAACAGTAGAGGCAAGGACAAGCTTTAATAAGCACCTCAGAAAAACTTTTACCCCTCAAATTGGCAAAAGCCCCAATCAATATTACTGTTCAGAATCTCTTTCAATGAGTACTACATTTAGAAGGCCAAGGAGGACCAGAGTTTGTTGATGAAAAGAGTTCTCTAATGTGTTCACAGAGAACACAACTTACTGAGTTTAAATACCCATACCAGAGAAGTATGTCTTGAGTTTCTTAGTCTATATTTGAGTTTACGAAGAACAAACACGTCACGGAAGTGTTTTTACAATTCAGAATAGTGCAGTCATTACATCCGGCAGATACAAGGAAGAAAGTCTATAGTTCTTCACCAAAAGATGTGGGAAGTGATCTAAGATCACTGTGCTAAAGTAACAAATGGAATTGCTAGCAAGACTGCTACCTTTACAGGCATGAAACAACTTTGCTATTTTCGGTTACTAATCAGGGGTCATCATTATCCACATCAGTTTCAGCACCATTCATGGATTCACATAAAATTTCTTGTGCCTCTGCAAGGGCCGACTCCTTTTCATCAACAGCATATAATATCTTCTTAACAGCCACAGCCATCTGCAAGCAATTAGAACAAATGACCCATTATTATAAACCCTATATCCAAAAACTAAAATACAAACATATATCGTCGTGTTTAAGTAGAATGAGTATTAGATTTGCAGGTTCAACTATCCTCTATGATCAATTTCACCTCAGAGTATTAGATTTGCAGGTTCAACTATCCTCTATGATCAATTTCACCTCAAAGAGCTCTTGCACAAGTGTAATGCTCCTCAAACATAAAAACTAAGCCAACAGGCCTACACAAGAGGAAAATGCGTTCCACATGAAGTCATCTCACCAATGCTTAAAAGTTATTTTATTTTTGTGTTGTTCAGTCGGTTTAATTTTTCTATTATGCAAACATTTTCTTTCCACAATGCCCAGCGGGAGGGAAAATGTTTGGGCAATCTGCGGATTCTGTGCATATTCACATCTACATGCTAATAGAACATTTAGGCATTCATATCTACCGGGAAAAAAAAACCATTTAGGCATTCATGTATCTTATATCTCTTTACTATATCGTGTACATGTAAAATAAATCAAAAGGCAGACCCTCTGCCTTTGCCATAGTTTCATCGCATTATTTATGAATATATAGGTTCATTTTGATTTGCAGATTCATTGAGGGAGAAGGAAACAAAAATCAGAAGGAAAAACAAATCCCTGTATTTTTTTTTCTCATGGCTAAATGAAATTGAAAATTAAAAGATTATCAGAATGGTTGAAAATAAGAAAAAGAAAAGGGAAATGAAAATAAAATTCAAAATTGCTCCCATACTTTCCTTAAAGTTCTCTTTCCTCCCTATACTTTGCTTGATAACCAAACAAGAAAAAATGATTCCCTTTACATCATCTTTTTTCACCCTAGCTAAAATCTGCAAATCGAAGAAAGCGACAAGAAATATGATGGTAATGAAAAGACCAAAATTAAATATGGATTGAGAATTTGAGTGGTTTTATCTTAAGTTATGGCCCTAAGCAGTGTGTAGAACAAAAGATAAATAGTAGCCAAAAACAATTTTTGGGACAAGACTTTCCTTAGTTGGATTAAAAGTTAAATAATTTCTGACATGCAACTTCAGCCATAATATAAGAAGAATTATTTTTCAAAATATTATTATTTTCCTATTCCCTTATCTCTCTTACAAATTTTCCCAATTAAATATCTCCGTATATGCGTGAATGGGAAAAGCAACCCCCTCCCCAAAACCAAAAACAAAGAAAAAAAATTGGTGTTATCGTCACTAATTAAAATGGTACAATCTGTCTTTCAATTCAATAATATCACTTGCAGATCTCTTTTGCAAATTCTTAAAAGTTAACAATGGCACTTCGGGAGTGGTTCAGTCTTTCCCACAAATATAAAGAAAGATTAATCCCAAATATTGTTTTTTGCAAGAATTGAATATCAAAATACCACCATCTACTAGTTTCAGTGGTACCGTCCTGTCACCCAGAAGGGGGAGATGCAGGGTTGAAGTACTGCACCTAGGGATGGCAACGGGGGCGGGTTTGGGCGGGCGTACCCTCCCCCGCCCCCTCAACCGTTTAAAAATCCCGCCCCCGTCCCCGTCCAAAACCGCAAAAACGGGGGACCTTTCCACCCATTCCCGTAACCTTTTAACATTTTTAACCCCGCGGGTACCCGCCCCGCCCCGTTTAAGACCATAATTTATTTATTGTTGAAATAAATTTACTCTTTTTTTTTTTTTTTTTTTTTTTTTTTTTTTTTTTTTTTTTTTCCCTCATCTTCAATTCTTCACCATTGCAACTTTCCTTTTAATCAAATTCATTTGTTACTTTAATATTGTTATAGGGGGTACTTAATTTATAGTGGTAAATATATATATTAATAAAATAAGGGTACTTATGTAATTTGTCTATCTAAACGGGGTGGGGCGACCTCCCCCCGCCCTCGCACCAAACCCGCGCAGGTTTTTATTATATCAAACCATCCCCGTCCAAATAAGCAAAACAGTCCCCCAAAACCGTTAAAAACGGGGCGGGCGGGGCAAGTAACCGCGGGGGCGGGTCAAATTGCCATCCCTACCTGCACCTCCCCCTTGCAAGAAAATGAGTGTTCTAGATAATCATTGCAAGAGTCAAAAATTAAATAATTTTAATTAGATATTTCAATGTTGAAAATGTCAACACCACTTGGGTTGCCCCCTTCATCAATTTAAGTGCCATTTCTTACCATATATAAACAACAGACAATCTTTTAAATGTTCGTTTTAAGAGATAAATTGATATGAATATTGTGCTTATATGTAACTAAAAGAAGTATTTCTTTAGAAAGAAAAAAAGGCAGGATTCAAATCTGATATGAGATATGGGTGTTACTGTTACCCATGAATTGTAAAAACATACAAGTACATTCAGGAGCACTAGAAACTCTTACAGGGAGATTCTCTAGTTTAGGAGTCTGACAAAGTATTTCAATATCCCGCAACTTTGCAAAATAGAAATCTCTTTCTTTTTCCAAGAGGTCCACAGAGAGCTTGAGATCTGTTACCTGGATGAAGTGTTGATTACCACATAAACAAACTCATTACAACTATGCATTGTGCAGAAGGGCAGGCAGATTTTTATTTCCATTATACATGGCATTTAAAACAAAAGGCAATGTAAAAACTATAAGTGATGGAGCTCTTAAATTAAATTTTGGACAATGCACCTTTAACTGCAAGATGCATGCTAAATCAACTACTGAATATTTCTGTAGTCAAATACTACTAATCAATAGTTCAGCATTATACACCAAGCCTGAGCAAACATCAGGGAGACAAGACCATGTCTATTTAACCCATACTCAAGCAGGTATCGGTGTCTATGGTAGGTTGGGCGGGCCAAGGTGTCAACCCACGTACTAACACCTTAACCCGAGCCAAACCCAAATCCCTAAGAACCAATTGCATCTCAACCCCGCCATACCGTACAAGTTTCACCGGTTTGTTGGGTTGCTCGAAATTTTAACAACCTACTAAGACACAGACAGTTGCAAAAAAAAATAAATAAATAAATAAAAAGAGTAAAGAAATATATATATGCATTAATACAGAAACTATATGACACAATATCAGTTACTATAATTTACTTCACACTTTCAAAACAATTGTCACAAAATGGATTAATAACTACCAATAATATTATGCCATGGAAGAATAAATCATTCCACCTTAACCTTATTTTATATAAAAATAAAATAAAATAAAACAAAATTGTAGTCATTAAAACATAAAAATTTATAAAAGTTTCTTATACTTCAGGTTGATCGGGTTAGTAAAACCTTTGCCCAGATCCTGTCCAAATAAATTCAGGCCCTACGATTTAAACCCTATCCCAGTCTCATGATCTCAAATACCTTGCCCACACTCACAAAATTTGGGCAGGACTCGGGTTAGTCCCATCCCTAGTCTACGTATATATCATCCAAAATTTGAGAAAGCTCAATGAGTTCATCAATCAGATACACTACCTAGAAGCTTGGAGAATCAGACTTGCTCATAATATATAAATCTTTACCAAAAATGAAAAGCATCCAGAAGATTTGATGCCAATACCTCCTTGGACAAGGCCTGAATCTCCCCCAAATTGTTAGCCTCAATTGCTGCCGCACCTGTTTTACCTTGTTTGATTCCTACAGCAATGAATACCAAAAGAACAATCCTAAGGTTTGAACAAATAATAGAAAAGTAAAGCAAACAAACTCAGAAGATTGTTGATTCTGTAGTAAATGCTGACCAGAAGTTTTATTAACGCCCATTCCATCACCAGAGCCAGGGTTATGCGAATTGTTTGCTTGCAGTGACTTTGAGTTCTTATAAGAACCCCTGGGATTTCGTTCCTTACCGCTCTTACTTCTGCGCTCCACGGGATTATAATTCCTGGAAGAATCACAATAATTAAGGAACAGGAAGGAAGGTAAAGAAATTAAGTGAAACTTATGTAAATGATGCTCAAATAACTATGTAAGATGTCATACTCATTCATGATGCCACCATTTACAGAATCACAGTAGCGTTTCAACCACTGTAGAAATTCCAAGTTGTCCAAAGGTCTACCCTTAACAAGTTTGTTGACTTCAATATGCTGCCATCAGAAGAGAAAAATTAAATCCTTCAATATCAGATAAAATTTCCAAGTTCCACAGAAGACTTCCACAACCCAGTTCCCCTAGTCAAGGCAAGACTATCGAAAATAAAATCATGAAGATACTGTCTGGTGCCCAATTGTGCGTGATATGTATTATCTCAACCTTTCACTAAACATCATGTCCAACAAAGACATCTTCAAACAAAAAATAGCATTAATCTATATAAATTGAAAGGGAACGATAATCATGAAGTTACTACATAGCAAACAATGCTCAATGTGAATGTCTAATACAGTTGCTAAAAAATTGTGGTCCTTGACTCAACTCAACTAAACAAATCTTTTTTTCCTACTACTTGGGGTCAACTACGTGAATCCTATTTTTCCATTCTAGTCTATCCAAGACCATAACCTTAGCTAAACCAAATGCTATCATATCCTTCCTCGCTACCTTAATCCACATTAATTTTGGTATTTCTCTTCCCCTAACATCACCCTCGATGTAGACTACGTCACTATTCCTAACTGGCACAATTAGTGGTCTTCTTTGCAAATCAAACTAGCTTCGTCAATTTTCTCTCATTTTATCTCCAAATGGTATTACCCCAACCATCTCACCAATGTGATATAAAATTGTGGTACTTCCTGAAACAAAAACAACTAATCACCAGATTCCTGAAGTTATGAAAAGTTATCTAGACAAATTAGATTATATTGTCATAAAATTAGTCTCAAGTTTAGTTAGCCAACCAACCAGTAGAACTTTGATTCATAAAATCCCATTTTGTGGAGTTCAATTTCACTGAACAACATTTCAACAAATCCATGAACGACGAGGTGATCACTTGCAACAGCATTTAGGAGCATGGGGTGAAACAAGGATACGCAATTGCAAGAAAAGTCAAGAGTAATTTGCTTCCAGTTGAATGTAATTCATGAACAAGAGCAGGCTGGAAAAAATTCAAATCAAGGGAAAAGACCGCCTTAAAAAAGAGCATAGTGGAAGAAAAGGATTCAAGTCCATAATCCAAGCAACTGGGACAAGGCTTTATCAGGTTAAAATCAGTATCTTATTGGAAGGTCATTATACGTATGGCTCCAATCAATTGAGGACGTTGGAAGAGGTGGAACGAATAAGTCCAAACCTAGCCTTTGACATTATTTGCTCCACATGGCTGCCTCTGACTAAAACCATATTCTCAACCTCAACAACATGAGTTTCTACCACTGCACCAAGCAACTGTGTAATGAGTATTTTATAATAACATGGTAAATAGACTATTCAATATAAAACTGCCTATGTTGAGAATTATGATAATAATCTTCAAGGACAAAATAATAATCCTTGAAGTTCAATCCAATTAGTTCCATTGGATGTGACCAAAATTGGGAGCATTTTGCTTCTTTTGTTATTGGTGTATAAATTAATGATAAATTGATATTCAACTCCTCCATCCTTCAGCCGATTGGAACTGAATGTCAATGCTTAATGCCTTTAAAATCTAGGCCAAATGGTACTCTCCGGGTATTCGCAAATAGCATAAAGGTAATGTTATCTTTGTTTTTCCAAACCAGGGCACTTCTACAGGGGCTAAAATAATTAAGTCCTGAATGTGAAGAAGAATTCACTAAAGTAATAACACTATTACTATGAATTTCCATGTATTGATGTCAGCGCCAATTTTCCAAAGAGGCTGTAAATTTTGTTCCATAGCGGTCAACTATCAATCGGAAGGGGCACCACCACTTTAGAGTTCTTTACGGATTATAATACCTACATTTTGTTATCTTTTAGGTAAAAATTTTGCTCCATAGCAGTCGACTTTTTTATTTGTTCTCTTACTTAATAAGAGATCTGCTTATCTAGTTTTTTTGCTATGCATTCTGTGACTCCTAAAGTACCAGTTTTACATTCACTTATTAAAAGGAAAAAGACAACAATATGAAAAGTACCATTCAAAGGTCAAACAAAATATATATATATATTACCCACTATAACTAGGTCACCAACCGACGAATTGATGACTCCACACAAAAGAACACACACTACAAGGGAAATCGAAACACAAAAAATCATTAAAGAGACTACAATAATTTGAAATTGTCTACAAAGATTGAATTACCTTGTCAATTTTTAGTTTGTTAAAAACTTCCTGCAGCACCTTGTAGTTTTGGATCATATCATATTCCGTTTTTGCATCAAAATTCACCTATAGGAAGCCATATCAGGTTAGAGATTGTTCCATATACAACACTAAAGAATGTGTATGAAAAATAAAAAAAAGGCAACGTGTATAAAAACAAAACATAAAAAAGAAATGAACAAAATAAAAAAGGTAAGCTGTCACCTTGTGCATGGGAACAACTCCTGGATAGGTCATGTCCATAACTTGACATTGCACAGCACCGGATGCAGCCTAGCATAACCGGTCATATAATTAAAAAAAAAAAAAAAGTTAATTTTCCATGAATAAAGATGATCAGAAGATATGACATGAATTTGTGAACCAACCATTTAACAATGACCACAACAATGACTGAACCAGCTTCAAGTCTGGAAGCTCTACAGCAAATTAACTAAAGTGGAAATATTTGATTAAGTATTTATTGGAACAGCATAGTAATTCAGCACATTGAAGTTCAGTGCGTAATGCTATAGGAGCACACTTCAAAGTTCATTGTGAGAATTTCTCATTCCATGTATGGTTTAGAACCAGTCATTGCATGGTATTTGCACCTTTCTACCATTGTACAAGGACCACTAAATCTTCTTTCAAGAAATCTTATTTAGTATCCCGTTTTGGGTTTACTTAATAAGCTCATCTCATTGAAGAACATCTATCAAAAATACATGTAAAATAGTGACATAAAAAAGTGCAATGTTGTAACTACTAAAATTTCTACTAAGATATCGTAGGAACGTAGTATGTTCACACCTCTTAGTCATAGGGGTGTGTTCATCTCACTATGTCTTGGAGTCGTATAGGGGTATTTACAACACCATGCATCATGGATTATGCTTACTTATCTGATGATACAATAACAATTATTTTTGTGCCTCTTAGGCATAGATAGATATTTATGAAACTACTTCTAAGTTCTAAAAATTACATGTGAGGCTTTTTTTGTCAATCTGCATGACAGATCACATTTCATAAAACATGGTAGGTGTGTCATAGTCCTAGGGGAGTCTCGGTTACTATGACCTGGAGTTACACTGGGTGCAGTTGCGCAACAATGCATTGAGAATTTATCATGCATTTTCATGGACATAGGGGTGTTAATGTTACAACTTTAATTTTCTTAAATGGGGAGTTTACAACAACAGTACATGGTGATTGCACTATTACATGGATTATAATTTACTGTGAGTCCCAGTCAGCTGCATCTCGTTCAATCCCTTATAAAAGGGTACCTACGTAACTCGATAGTATTATTGAGTGCAACTATAACTGACCTTGAGAATATGTGCTTTAATATCTGTTCACAATTTTCCCAAGTCTAACAACTTAAAAATTGATTTCATTTTTTTTCCTAGTTGGTACTCACACACACGTCTCTTCTGCGACTTGAACCCCTGACCTCCCTTTGGGAAGTAAGAGGCCGATACCGCTAGGCCACTGGCCGTTGGTAAATTGATCTCATTTTCGATGTTTTGATATTCACTTTGGGAAATGTATTACAAGTTATATATGTATCAGGGGGCAAATATAGACAACTCATTTGTACCGGCTGTAAGACATCGACCCTACCTCTGTTTACTCGATTATTGGAATGAAAATAATTATGTTTTTGGTCCCGACATGCCTGACTTAATCAAATTCTGTAAATTCTAATGACTTAATTAACTAGACTTATTAACGGCCTTTAGGTTCAGAAGTTTGACCGTATTATACACCTTAGCGGCCAAATGTTGAACAAGATTTGTATGACATTTTTATTTTTTAAAGAAAATGAAATACACAAAGTCTATAAATGAGATTTCCAGTGGTGTATGATAAGACTCAATATAGAGGTGCCCTTTTGAAGGTTAGAGTAGAAAAATGTTTTCTTAAAAAAATAAAATGCGGATTACGCACGAGCACCAAGAAGTTGTACAGCTCCTGGTCATGTGCTGTATGACACCATATGAGGTGCCTGTGCGGCTTTCCGAGTGCCGTGCAGAGATCCCATGGTGCATCATGAAACCAATTCTCTTGTTCAGACAAAAAATTGCGATTTTGATTTCTCACTCTCCAGAAATCCAATCTTTGATCAAGTGGGTCATATATTTAGGAATGGGCTGATCATTTCAAGGATCAAAGTTGAGGTATCCTTCGTTCCTAACCTCTTTCTTGCTTGGTTAAATACTAAATGCTATGTATTTTATATTCTATTTTCTTTTTTTCATAATGTTATATGGTTTTGCAAAAAAATAGATGTTGAGTGATTGTTATGTGTAGAATATAAACCATGGTCACCGGCTTTGGATGATGAGTAGAGTCCTATCTTTGATGGGGCAATATGGAATGTTCCATGATATTCGCCTTTTCTTAACTTATACTGTAATGCCCAAAGCTAGTTATTTGGTGATGACATACGAGCAACCCTGAAGCCCAGCCAGTTGTCTAGTGATGACAGAATGGCTTATCCCACTGGAGCTGAAGTAGTTTCTTAATCTCCTATGATAAGTGATGAAATCAAATGAAGAGGAATTTCCTAATTATGTATGAAATCGGTTCATTGGTTGTTCAAAGAATTTCTTGCGGGATCAAACAATTTGTGACTACACGATCTAAATATAAGCCTCATTTGCTTGATCATAACCACATAATCAAGGAATATTTTCACTTATATCAGGTCAAGAACTCCTTTACACACCTCTTTGGGCAGCTCTATATATTGCAGAACAGTATTTGATTTTTTAGCAAGGGTTGTAACCCAATGGTATCACTTTGTTCAATTCCCAATAGAACAAAGTTGGGTTGTGCATTACTGCCAAAAAAAAAAAACACCTACTTGGATTTTAATAAATCATATCACGGCTAACACATACAGTTGTAGTGAGTTACTAATTTCAAAAATAAAATACAGAGTTTACAGAAAAAAAAAAAAAATAAAATTGTCGCAACTAATTACTGGGAAAAAAAAAAGAATTGCAGCCACACTATTTTACAGGTAAAATAATAGAAATTATTGCTCTTTATACCCAATAAAGATCCGGTTATTTTGAAATTTATAAATTAAAAAAAAAAAAGCTTTCAAAAACAGCATGAGTGAATAAATAAATATGATACACCATGAAAATGTCAAAAATAGAAAAGAGATAGGGATATGGAATTATCACCGGATAACATAGCAAGAACACAGAAATCGTCAATTTCTTGTTACTAATAGGCTCCAATAACATTAGTATAATTAAAGTTCATAGTTTTGATTGTTTAATCTCCACCAAGAAATATATGCAATAGTATATGTATATATGTGCAACGATGAAAACCCTAATGCGGAGGACAGAGAAGGGAGGGAAGGGAAGGTACCTCCTCAATACGAGATAGATTAAGCTGAAGCCTGGCATTGATCCAAGAGAGAATCTCACCCCTCCCAACAAAGTACGCACTGTCCATCATCCCTATATTCATCGCCATTCTCTCTCAAATTCCAATTACTCTTCTTCACATAAAAATCAAAACTTGAAAACTTCAAACAACCACATCGAAAACGAATTCAACAATTTTAGAAAGAAAGATGAAACGATATATCGTGTGTGTATGTGTATATATATGTATAGAGAGAGAGACAATGTCTTATTATGTGTGTCAGAAGTGGATGGGATTATCTTGTAGAGAGAGAGAGAATTTGGTTAAGAGAGGATTTGAGGCGTAAAGTTAGGGTTTTGCGGTTCAAAAATGGCTGTTAATGCAGAGGATTAAGAAATGAACGGTAAAGAATTGATTTTAAATTTCTTTAGAGTAGTAACGGAAACCAAATGGCACCGGCCAGGAAATAAGGCGCCAGCGGTTTAGAGAGAGAGAGAGCCTATCCGTAAGCGTGTGAAGTTTTTATTTTTAATTGGTTTTTGAAAATTTTGTTTTTGTTTTGTTTAATTTTAAAATTGCAAGTTGATTAGAAGTCTAAACTTTTGATTAGTAGTGCCGAATGGGATTGTCTACTTGTCTTTGTGGGAAGTAATTAATGCTGAATCGGACAAGATTTTGTAGAGGGGGCTTTGTGTCATGTACAAATGTTAGGTCAAGATCAAAGGATGTCCTGTTTATATCTATAGGTCTATACCTTATTTATTTATATATATATATATATATATATATTTTTTGACAATTACAAAGTGTTTCATTATATTTTAAAAATAAAATCAAAAATCAAGAACTTTCACTTAATAATAGGTCACTATCACCTGAGTTTTTTTTTTTTTTTTTTTTAGGTCTCATAATTTAATTATGTATTTGGACCTCTTTCCATTTTTAGTAATTAAATAGGGGGATAGTCATAGTTATGGTGGGGATGAATATATTATTATTATTATTATTTTTTTCTTAAAACACATGTATCGATTTGACAACACATATATCATTTAAATTAAGAGTGTCGTTCAAAAGCGAGATCTCAAGAATTTATCTTCCGAATCCATATTAACGCCGCTATACCCCTGGACCAGATGAATATACTAGCAAGAGACAAAATCACCCTCTTAAAAATTAGAAAGAGGCAATCAGACAGAATTTTTCAAATGACCTCTTTTGCTCTCAAACGTTCAGATAATTGTATCAAAAATGATTGTTTTGAACAAAATAATGTATAGTGGAGTATCATTATAAATTGAGTGGAGTGTTTTTAAGATTTAAAAATAAAAAAATAAAAATAATGATATGCTAAAGATTTTTTTACAAAAATGTAAGTAATTTTATAAATAACATCACTAAGTCCTTAATGAGTTCGTGCTTATGGGTCTTATTTATTAATTGCATAATATAACTTGCATTATTTAAATAAAATATCTTATACATAAAGTCTTGTATATGACTTATATGTTATACTATATAACTTATATAATATAAAAGCTAATGTATGGACAAAAATTATCATTATATACTATAGTTTAAATGCTCATTGTTTATCAACTAAACCTGTGTGGTTAGTAGTTTGTGTACTCCACCCGTTGTGACTTGTGAGTTTGACTCTGGAGCTATTATTAATATTATTTATATAAAATTGCTCGTAGGCCTGTCGGTCCGGGCCGGTCTGTTTGACAGCTCCAAAAGCTGGCCAGCCAGGCCTACTCGGGCCCAATGGTGACATGCAGTGCATATTTGTCATTAAAGAAAATTTGTTCTTTATTGTCTTAAAAATCAACTATTTAATTATAAAAATAGTACCAGTTTAGAAACTGATATTTCATGCAAGCTTTTCGTATTAAAGTTGTTATGTGATGATGAACCTTCTTTCATGGATTCATTGATAGGTGAATTTCAAGAGAGCCAAGAAGATGATAACCATTGATTCACAAAATATATATATATATATGTATACATATATTATGAAGAAGAAGAGAACATGAAGAAGAAGAAGATGATCATGATTGTAACCAAATGCAAGCAGAGAAAGAGCCGCCACACTGACCCCTAAAGCCCACAAGACTAGCCCCTGCAGCCCACAAGTTGTGGGCTTCTATAGTTTTCCTCACATAGCTTAATAATTAATAGGCCTTATTGTTTTGACAAATTGAATAAAATCTCCTACACCTTCAATTTTTAGCCCGAAACACCACCTTACGGTTTTTTTTTTTTTCCTCGAGACGACATAAAACCCTTTGAACTATTCAATTGTTACAAAGTAATGTTATAATGATAAAATACCCATTAATATAAATTTAAGGAAATGATGCCTCTTAATATAACATTAAAATTAATACAAATAACTCATTAGGTATAGTGTTGTTAAGAATTATTTTTGAAAAATTTTGTGTCTATAAAAAATTTGAAAATACCTTGGAACAATTTCTTAATTTTTTTTTTAAAAAAAAAATTAAAAAAAAAACAAAGAAAACCTAAAATGAAAACTATTTTAAAGAAAATCTAATTTTTCTTAAATTTATATTAAGGGGTATTTTTGTCATTATAATATCACTTCAATGGAGTGTAATTTTCAAATTTTTCTTAAATTTATATTGTTCAGGGGTTTCATGTCAAAAACATTTTGTAGGGTATTTTGTGCCAAAAAGTGAAATTAGAGGGGTTTCATTCAATTTACCCTATTATTTATGAAAAGAGCTTTATTGTTCGAGGGGATTGACCGATTGAACTAATGTTGCATTTGGTGTGTAATAATAGAATGAAATGCAAGTGTAAATGGAATGAGAATGGGAATGGAATGGAATAGTCATTCTCATTCTATTATTTGGTTGTAAATATAAAATCTGTAGGAATGGAATAATAATAACTATTATAGTGTTTGGTTGGTCTAAATTTCAAATTAAGTTCTTCAAAATATCCTTGTTAGTAAAAAATAAATTAAATTAACAAAATGACATTTTTCTATAATTTTTTTAAAATAAATGGTGGTGGAGGTGGAAAACAATAGCGGTGCAAGTGGTAGTGTTGGAAGGCGGCGGCGGTGTTGGTGAAAGGCAGCAGTGGTGGAAGGTGGTGGCAAGAATGTTGGTGGAAGGCAATGGAGGTGGCGGTGGTGGAAGGCAGTAGCGGTGGTGGTGATGAAAGGTGGTGGAAGGCGATGGTGGTGGTGGTGGTGGTGGAAGGCGGTGGCGGTGGTGGTAGGGAAAAGCGGTGGCAAAGGCAGTGGCGGCAGAATGTGGTGGTGGTGGTGGTGAAAAGTGGTGGCAGAAGGCGCTGATGGTGGAAAACGGTGGTGGCAGCAGGTGGTGGTGGTGAAAGGCGATGTCGACAATAGTGGTGGAAGGCTGTGGCGGTGGCGGTGGTACGTGGTGGTGGAAGGCGATTGCGGCGGTAGTGGCAACGACAGTGGTGGAAGGTGGTGGTGACGGAAGGCGATGGTGGTAGTGGTGGTAGAAAGAGGTGGTGGTGGCGGTGGAAGGTTCTGAAAGGTGATAGCGATAGTGGTGGTGGTGGAAAGTGGTGGTGGTAGTGGTGGTGGTAGCGGTGGTGAAAGGTGGTGGAGGCAGCGATGGTTGGGGCAAAGAAAAGCGGTGTCAGTGGTGAAAGGCAGTAGTGGAAAGCGGTGGTGGTGGTGGTGGTGAAAGGTGGATGTGGTTGTCGTGAAAAATGGTAGTGATTTTTGGACTTGGACACGAGGGTTTTTTGGAAAATTGATTTTTTTAAAATTACTTTAGAATTGAATGGTTATTTCATAGGGTTAGTTGTGGAATAGATTTTCATTCTTAGAAATGGATTTTCATTCCAATAATGGTCATTCTCACTTTAAATTGCATACCAAACGCAACATAAAAGGTTGTAATTTAATGATATTATTTTAATCCCAATTAAAAAATAAAAAATTTGAGAGAGAGGAAAAAAAAAAAAAAAACCTTTTATATTTCAATAGTGAAGGGCCTTATCACACAATGAATGTATGTCGCTAATTGAAATTTTTTCAAAATTCTGGAGTCACTTATGATTGAAGTCTGTCTTGTTTTTGGCATTCCCAAAGCAGTTAAAGTGAATGAAATTTATCTATATTAATTAAATGAAATTCTTACAAAAATGCAACACGGTTCAAGGGCTCCAACTCAAGGGTTAGACCAGTTGGCTAAGGATTATGTTTTTAAAATGTAAAAGTCTAAAGTTTTACTCTCTTCAATCCGGATTTTTCTGATCTAAACTAACAAAAAGTTTAGGACTCGAAAAAAAATAATAAAATAAATAAATATTGAAGCTCTTGCCCATATGAAAATTGAACTTTCTTAAAGCATAATTAGTTTTTTTTTTTTTTTTTTTTTTTTTTTTTTTTTTATGTCAAATGTCATGTCAGTGCTGTTTTGTCAATTGAAAATGAAATAATGAAAAGAACAGTTTGTGTATTTTATTGAATTAAAAATGCTATGAAGTTTCAAAAGCTTGTTTTATAACAACCTAGATTACCTACTGAAGCCTAATTTTCTTCCTATGGCCAAAAGTACCCTGCTCTTATTCTTCTTATTACAGAGAATCAATCATTTTGAGTTGCAGATATGTAAAAGTGAAACTGGTAAAATTCTTTAGAACAACTTCTGGAGTATTTTTTAGTTAAATAATAAGGTAAAGTACAAAGACATCCCCCGAGGTTTATCAAAAGAACATCCAAATGGTAGTTTGCTTATTTTGGGACAATGACAACCCTTCAAGTTTGAAAAATGGACAAAAAGATCCTGAAGATGGTGAATTGGCCTTATTACCCTTAGTATAAAATTGACATTTTAATTGACTTAAATACCCTTGGATTAAACCTTAACCCAAACCCATCTGAAACCCTAACCCAAACCCACCTGTGTAAAGAACCCTCTCCCCGCCGCCACCAACACCATGACAATGGATACTAGAGAGGTACGAGAAAGATGCCCCTATCGTGAGAGGTCTTCTACTCTATGCTCGTACAGAAAAGATACACACACTACATCTTCATCACCCTTCGGCCACACACTACATCTTCATCACTCCTCAGCTGTCACCGCCACCGCCTCATCATCATTCTCACGTGGTAGTGGTGGTGGTGGTGGCGGCAAGGCAGGCGACCCATCATGGTGACGAGATTCCAACCGACTACGACAAATTTTCCGTAGCTGCTACTGACGACGACTTCATCATCGAACATACCTCATTCCCCTCGACACCAACAACAACAATAATCTTCACTCGCCGTAACCCTATGGTTTCGGTTCGTCCCCAAATCCTGAGTGCACTCTGTCGCCGTTCGAGTCCTCTGTTCTGAAATCCAACAGTGATTCGAAGCCGTACGATCTCGGAGCTGATATGGACTACATCTTCATTGGTTTTCTTTGCATCATCGGAATCGTGGCTGGTCGTCACCGGATAGTTTGCTCATCGTCAGCATCGTCCGATCCGCTTCTAGCTCTTTACCGTCGCTGGAATTGGAAGTGGAAGGTCACAGATCACGCTTCTATGTGTGTGTGTGTGTTTTAGATAGATAGAACAAAACACATAGGGCTTTTGCCTCGGACGATTTGGGGATTTCGTGGTTGTGGTGAGTTTAATGGGTAGTGGTGGAGATGCCGATTGTGGATGGTAGGAGGAGAACTTGGCCGGTGGAGACGGACTGGTTCGTGTCATGGATGAATCGGCGGCAGCTCAGATGAGGATGACGGCGGAGAACTTCGGCTTTGATGATGTCGGCTGGGATGGAAGAGACGGCGAGCTCGGTGATATGCAAGGCTGAAGACAGTGATGTCATGGTTCGGCCGTGGATGATGGCGACGGCGAGCTCGGCTTTGGATGATGGCGGTCGGCGAGCCAGGACGGCCAGAGAGAAAAATTCGATGGTGATGGCTTGACTATTTTTTATTATTATTATTATTATTTTTTTGGGTTTGGCTTTGTAATTAATAGGTGGTGATGATTGGTGGTGAAGGGTGAAGGTCTGCCGGAATATGCAGGGGTGGTTGTTGGGGATGGAGATGGTGGCGGTGGTTTGGGGGTGGGGATGGTGATGGTTGTGGATTTTGGTGTGGTGGTTTGTTGGATTGATTGGGTGTCAAGGGTATTTTGGTCATTTAAGTATTTTGATATTTTATAATTAAATTTAATAAAATAGTGAAGGGTAAAACAGACTTTTCACATCTTTTAAGGCTTTGTTTGGATGGCAAATTTTACAAGGGGGTGTGGTTGTCCCAAAATGAGCAAACTTTCCTCTAGATGTCCTTTAGGCAAACCTCAGGGGGTGTCTCTGTACTTTACCCTAAATAATATCATAATGCCATTTCTTGTACAAAATAGATATTCAATGCATTTGGTGTCCTTGGCTAATTAAAGCTGTACATGATTGTACATGAATTGTTCTAATTAGCTTGATTCACCGAGCACACCGAATATCTCCTCCCAATTATGATTAAAACTGAAACAAATGTTTATTTTAAGGAATAATTGTTTTAAAACCAAGGGCTTCAACCAAAGTCCTAAACGGAATGGAATGGAATGGATTGGAAATTTGGAAGGGGTTGCATTTTTTTAGATGAGACTCGGGTTGAGTTCTACTTGAATGCATCTATCGATTTGGAAAATTTCACCTCTCAGATTGGAGATTAATGTGAATTCAGGTATGAATACCGATAATTGGAAGTGTTTAATTTGATAAATCATGGGAGGAAGTAGTTGCAGAGTTGCAGCTAGCTATGTGTATTGGCAGCATCTCTGTGCTGCTGGAATATCTGTATAAGCTAGAAATTAGTGTGTTTAATAGTGTAGCATGGAATGAATTAAGTGTTGTCCAGACTGTCCAGTTGGCAGTTTGGGGGTGTTGATTTATGTCATATGCTTTATCAAGACAAGCAATGCACTACCAAATTTAAATAGGAAAAATTGTATTCTTGTTCACTTCCGATATTATCACTATTCACAACTTTTTTCTGTAGGAGCCACATGATTTGTGGGCTCAATAAGAAAGCTGTGAGCAATGAAAATGTCCGTAGTCAATTATCCTAGAACGATTCTTTAAAAATTACAAGAGCTTTGTCAAAAATCTATAAGAATTGATGAACAACATGTTGAATTATCATAATAATTGCAAAATAATTTATTATTACATTTGTATCTTCACCGATGTGATTGAAGTGTGTATTATTTTGATTGATCTGTCACCAGGGCTTTCAAGATGAAAGCATCCTAATATATGATAGTTTTTTCTCTATCTTCCACTTATTTTACTAGGAAAATGTTGTCGTAAACAGAAAGTACTACCCATGGTTAAATAATCAAGTAGTTTGCCTATTAAATTTCGTTTAAATTTAATCGTCAGACAAGTCAATCCATGGTTAGGAGCATGAACTTGCTTATAAATATGCATATTTGGGACCAGTCATTCTGGAAGCATGTGATTATGCTAAACATTTTGCTTAGAAATGTTAAAGATTCCTTGTACAATATAAATCTCTTTAGATATTTCTTTACGACATATATATATATATAAAATCTCAATTATTATTTTAATATTGGAATGATGATCAATACAACAATAGGCAATCCAATTAAGGCACTATTGTCAGCTACCTACATACTTCAAATTTTTGTAGGACCTCACATATATCAATATGTTATATGTATCTTTATTTTTGGTAGATAACCTGCTTCCCTAGCTAGCTATCACAGTCACAGAACAGAGAATTAACAAAGACACAATATAGAATATTATGTTATATCATTAATATAATATATCACTCACTGGTTGAAGTCACTACCAAACTCAGGGAAGACAAAACATGACTGACATAAGAGTAGAGTAGGAGAAGATATAATAGATACATATATTTTGTCTTCTTTATGGTGACTTCTAACCAATCAAGAGAGAGAGAGAGAGTCTATTGTTGCAGAAGACTTCTAAGGATGTCTGCATCAATACCATTGCTGTCTACAGAAGCTAGCAATTGAGAAAGTCTCTCACTTAGATCATCCATTTCTTTGTGCAGCCTCTTGATGTAACTGCATGTTTCTTTCAGAATTTTTGATGCTGGTACCTACAATTTCAACATAATCACAAAATTAAACCACTGTTTTAGCACTAAAATATCACACACACACACACACATATATATGATCATTTGTTGCAATACAACTAGCTTCAACCATTACAAGCACAAGACATTGTTTTATGCAAGTTCCATTCTATGCACACCCTAGCTTGCAATGTTTATGATAATATGATGAATAATGCCTACTTATATATATATATGCTAATATTATTGTTTGTCTTGAATGATACTTTGAAGTTCCCAAGTATTTATTAAGCTTCATGCTATTGCAACTCAAAACTAGCAAAATCATGATGATTATTAATGTTTGTTAGTATTGTTATATCATGGTGCTTTAATCAAAGTTTTCATTATTCGTAAATAATGAAATTAACTTCGAAAATTCGCTTCTAATTCTGCTTTCAAAGTGACATGACATTGACGGCGTGATGAGTTTGTGAATAGAAAAAAGGAAAGGAGATCCAATTAGTCACATCCATGACTTAGAAAAACATATATATATATATATATATACATATATACAAATTCCTGTAAAATGTGTCAACCAACGACATATATGCTGTTGTGTGTGACATCAAAATATTGGTGATAAGAACATATTTTTACAGAAGAGGATCCAAGCCCTTCAAATAAAATGAGAAATGAAAGATGGCCATTGCCTACCCTTGCAGTACTACTGCCCCTCCTAGAGGAGTCTGGTAGCAATGCTTGCAGTTTCACAACGAGTTCATTAATCTCATCTTCCGTGATTCTTGAAGCGTTTGTTGATCTTCTGTTCGACATAACTTTTCGCTATGTCTACTTACTCTTCTTCTGCGCTAACTTCTTGTAGCAAGGATGAGCAGGGAAGTTGAAGGTTGAGCAATGGGGTGCTTAAAAAGTGAGTGAAGGGATGGAGTCTTTGGACACAAGTTTAGTTAGAAGAGGACACAAACAGAAGCATTAGGTATTAGAATAGGTTTATTAGGCCCCATATGTCTCAAGAGATTTGTACCAAATGGGACCACAATCATTTAAGCCTTTCCTAATCAACTCCTTGGTTTCAAGTCCATCGTCTCATCACTTTCCTTGTCTAACAACTTCAAATTCATGCATTAATTCCCCCTAATCATACACGTGTCAACCCTAGATTGCAATTTCAATGTGATTACTATGGATGTTTACATCCTACCAAATAGATACCGTCTCTCATATTTTTTTGTATTGAACTGTGGAGGCTTTGGCCCTCTTTTTGTCTATTGCATTGCATTGCATTGCCTTGCCCTCTCTGTTTTCATACTCTGTTTTCATTTAATTCACAAACCCCTCATGCCCACAATAGTATTCTAATGCTATATTTGGCGGCACCGAATTGGTACCTTGGATTCAGTGCTTCTAAACATAGTATAAGTTTAATTTTGATGTTTCGGAATGGAGTTTTATTCAAGTTCACATCCATCAAGGGGTGATGTCTCTAGGCTGCAGTTTTTCATTTCATAAGTGATTGGATGTCTCTAGGCTGCAGTTTTTCGTTTCATAAGTGATTGAATTGTTTTTAATAGTTGTTAAAGTGTCCATACAAGTCCAAAGCTAATTTAAAAAAGAAATTTTAAGACATTTGAAATCGAAATCTATGTTACTTTTGAGGGTGTTGAAAGAACGGTTACAAAAGCTTCCAATGATACGATTTAATGGTCCATATTTTAAGATGATAAGTCCGTTTTAGATGTGAACATTGAAAGGGATGCAAACAAAAGTTAAAATTGGAGACAAGACTAGTCCTTTGGGGTAGCTGAAAATCACCTCAAGTCTCAATAGCAAAGATGTTATTAATTGGTGATTTAGGAACGTTATTATCCCATGTAATACCAAAGCTAGCAAATCATTGAAGTCTCAATAGCAAAGATGCTTTGAAAACATTATTATTATTACATCAAAGTTGACACTATGATTTATTAATTAGCACTTGCCTCTCATTACAAGACAAATTTGTTTGCAGGAGACAGACTCCACAGAACTCAGGCGTGAGACTTGATCACTATTATTAGTCTTTCATTTTTTGGCATGGTTACTTCTCTTTTCTGTGTGTGTGTGTGTGTTTTTCCTATAGGTCCATATTGAATATTCTCAATAAAATAGAAGTTGGATATAAATATGAAGGATTGGTTCTGTAATCATAATTTGACTGTCAAAAATTTATCATTTTATTTTGGTTGTTTGTTGGACCATAGCACTTACTTTTTCTTACCTTCCAATGCTAAAATCTTGTTTTTCTTACTTTGATGGAGAGATTTTTTTCTTGTATAAGAGTGGGCAAAGTAAGAAGAACATTCTAAATGTTTAAATTTTGGGCAAATATTATTCTTAAGGTTTTTTTTAGTGTACAAGTGTGTTAAGTTTGAAAAAATGATAAAAAAAAAGAGAGCTTAAAGTCACAGTTTGGTTACAAATTGACATTTTTAAGATATAAAATTAAAAAAATACATTTTTTTCTCTTTCAATAATGTCCGAGAAAAAAAAAAAAAAAAAAGAAAAAAAAAAAGTGGTACACTTTAGTCATTTTATATTTAATTATTTTTTATCCTTTTTATTTTATTCAATTATAGAGTGACACTTTACCCTTTTCAGCATTCAGGCCTTTGCCTACTCAAAATTTGAATGTTTTGAATTTTTTAGAGCGTATAGAGAGTTTGTTATACATTCTAATGCATACCATAGGGGCATTTTTCTCTAGCGATCCCATAAGAGGAACTTCAAAGGTTTTGATCACTGGGCTTCTAGCCTATTGAATCTCTCCTCTCTTTAAAAGGGAAGTTCAGAGTTCAAGCCCATATTGAAAGCATTTTGTGGGTAAAAGTATGTATGTTTTGCTTTAACTTTTGGAAAAAAAAAATAAAATCTAACATTTTGAAAATTTTCACTACCTAAATAAGCCAAAAAAGTCAGGATAAGAGTTATGAACTCAATTTCGTTCTTGTGATTCGCTTTCATTCTCATTCTGTATGATTTAAAATTTTTGCCTCTTTCGTGTTCTTGTTCTTGTACTTGCTTCCGTTCCAACACCTGTTTTATATGACTTAGGTTATGAACATTACATATTTAATGACAGAGTATTTTATATAATTTATTTTTACATATCTCAAAAAATTTAGCTTAATTTGCATAATTCATTACTCTTATCGGACTTTCTTCATACCATTACTCTTATCGGAAATAAGCAAGCAAATTTGGCTTAAATTTATGGGACGAGTATCTTCCCCATGATAGAGAGTGCCAGAGAGAATCTTGTGGTTGAGATTTAATTGATAAATGAGACTCACCAAAGTTTTATGGAAAAATTGAATTATTAGATATGACCCATTTAAAATAATCAAATCTCATCGGGTGATCACATAATCTCAATATTTAATAGAGTGCAAGACCTATCTAAATTGGAGATGATCCAAGTCCAACTTTACCGTATATTTAGTTGGGAGAAGAATGGAGAGAATGAACTATATATGTACGTGGCTCACATTGTTACTGAGGAATTATCAATCTTATAGCATCTCCACCCTAATCTTCAAATTTTATATGTCAAATTCATTTATGATGTAACAAATTGACATATGAAATTTTGGCATATAAAATATAAGAGCTTCACCCCATATGTCAGATTTATTAATATTTTGACATATTTTTGTTACTAACTCGTCCCAAATTAAATGCTTACATTTCCATTTTTTGTTATCCCAAAATAAATGTAAAAAGCCAATTATTATTTTTTGTAACATTATTAATTTAATTTTCTTGCATTGAACTTATAAAAAATAAATCATCTCATCTTGTGGATCCACTATAGACATATTTAGTACCAGTACTTCATTTCGATTTCAAAAAAAGAATTTTAATTTGAGACGGATGGAGTAATATTTTAGCATTCATTCATGCAAGTTTTAATGATATGTATGACTCATATATTAAAATAATAATAATAATTCATTTGGTATGAAACTTTTTGACACGTCAAATTTGACATATTTGATGTTAACATTTGAAATATCGATTAGAGCCTTGGAGGACTTCTTGGTGCCAAAACTGGCCAAGGAGTAGATTTGATATGTCAATTGGAGATGCGCACTTTTATATCGCATAAATCTTTTTTTTTATTTTTTTAATCCAAATCAAACCGTGACAATGGAATAGTCTAATTATAATTATATGAAGTGTACCAAAATAAAACATTACACAATGGATATATTACTAAATTAAAACATTACACAATGGATCTAATTATAATTATATTAAGTCTAACTCTTTATATCATAACACACGTATGATATAGATTAATAATTCATGCGATTGTTTAACCTTATTGCTTGTGCTGAAAATAACAATTGAAGGTTGACGTGACAAAGCATGCACTATGGGATGAACGACAAGGCAACACGGACATAATCGTATGATTGGCACCACTCGTCTTTGGACTTATTTACCAAACACTTTTAATTTTGTCACCTTAAATTTCGGTGAGACCACACTGGATTACTGCATAAATTATATAACTGACGCCGTCTGTACTTCCACGTGGCACGTGATTTAGAGCAGTGGTATGGACCGTTGTTGTCTTTTTTACCGTTTATGTTTCTATTGGCTATTTTTATATTTATTAATTATTTGTCTTTTTTTCTTTATGGTAAAGCCAACACACACTTTTTTGTCCACGCCAGGGATCGAATTCCTCCCCTTTTCTTTAAAGATGGGGAGGTTATACCATTGAGCCAAAGCCCTTTGGTTAATTATTTGTCTTCATACCTTTTTTTAAGACAAAAATACGCTTTAAAGATTTTATTTTGTCCTCTCATTTATTCATATGATATTTATATATATATATATATATATAGGCGATATTCACACTTTATTTTTCACGAAATCTTAAATTAAATGACAATTATAACTTTAATTTTACAAGTAAATTATTATCACTATTTAAATGAGACAAATTCCCTCCGTATCTCCAATCTTTACTATTTTAAGTGTCTTTGGACAAGATAAATAAAATAATAATTTTTTTTTTTTAATAAATTGCCTCTATTGATCGAAAGTGCGAAAAAAAAAAGTAAGTACTCTCTCCATCCCATATTAATATTCCATTATCTCATTTTTTACTGTCCTACTTTAATTGTCACATTTCAAAAATCAATACACTACTTTTTATTACATTCCTAATTTACCCCTAAAAGAAAGTGGACCCCATTTTCCATACTACTACTTTTGAAACTCAAAAATAAGTGGACCCCATTAAAAATCAATACTCTACTTTCTAAGGAAGGGCAAACTTGGAAATATATTTTTTGCCAACCCAATAAAATATAATAAAAATTGTTACCTTAAAAAGTGTGAAATGAAAATTGGACTATTATTAAGGGACAAAAGTAGATTAAAAAAAATTATCTCTTTTGATTGGATCCACCCCACCCCAAAAGAAATACTCCCTCCATCCCAATTTAAGTGTTGCTTATGGGTAGTAGTAATTTTTAAGGGGACACGTGAGACATGCATTGTCTTTCTGAAAAGTTAACTAACTTGCCCTTTTAAATATTGAATATTTAAATTTGAAATTTTAAAATCAAAGAACATATATGAAAAAGATGTGAAATATATTGTTTGAAAAAGTAAAGTGAACACTTATTCTATAACAAACAAAAAAGAAAAGCATAACACATATTTTAGGACAGAGGGAGTATATATTTATTAAAAAAATTATCTCTTTTGTCAGATTCACATCAAAAAATATAAGATTCAAAAAAATAATAATATCTCTATTGA